TCGTCCTCGGAGTCTGAGAGCAGCTCTGTAGGTGAGAGGGGTGCACATGCGAGTCCAGCTAACAAGGTCTCCCACCGGACCACCGCAGTGGTCAGTGTCCAGGGGGCAAGGGTCCATCCAGGCCGGCTTCACTCTGGATTTCGTAGCCATTTCCAAGGTGGTCTTTGGGTCTGGGAGAACAGAGTTCAAGTCCCGGCTCCCTCTCTTGCCCTCTGACCTGGGAGAACCTGACCTCCGGAATCGGGTTTCCTCATCCAAGAACGGAACACAGTGCTTTCTCAGCCTCCAACTGCTATAGAGCAGGGCGTGGTGAGATGACGCACACACCCAGCAGACAGAGAGCACTCCGGAAGTTACACACGTGTGTGAGGTACTCGTGCACGTGTGTGCCCTGTGTGAGCACTTGTGTGTGTTCGTGTATGTATAAATGTGCGTTGTGTAAGAGCCCTGGTGGCATAGTGCTTGTGTGTTGGGATGCTAAATTCAAGGTCAGCAGTTTGAAACCACCAACCTGCTCCTAGGTAGGTAGACGAGGCTTTCTACTCCCATAGAGTTACAGGCTCGGAAACCCAAAGGGGGAGTTCTGCCCTGTCCTACAGGGTGGTCGTGAGTTGGCATTGACTCCACGGCAGGGAGTTCGTTTTCTTTTAGTGTGTTGTATATGTACTTGTGTGTATAAATGAATTTGTGAATGTATGTAACTGCATGTGTGTTATGTAGGCATTTCCATGGCTGTGCATATGCCTTCAAGCGTGTGGTGTTTATGTGTGTTGTATAAGTATTCGTGTGATGTGTATATGTTTGTGTGTGTTTTATTATATACATATTTTGTATGTACATTTTATATATGCTGTGTATGCACTTGCATATGCCTACATACATGTGTTATATATGAGAGTGTGTGTGTATGTTTGTGTGTTGTGTATTTATTGTGTGTGTGTGTAGTGTAGATGTGTGTTGTATGTGTGTGTAGTGTAGATGTGTGTTGTATGTGTGTGTAGTGTAGATGTGTGTTGTATGTGTGCATATGCATTGTGTGTATGTGTTGTGTATGTGTTTTGCCTATGTATTTGTGTGTAGATGTGTGTACGTGTTTGTGTGTATTTGTGTGTTGTGTCTAGGTTTGTATGCTGTACACACATTTGTGCATGTGTGTTATAGGCATACTTGTGGAAGTGCACATACAAGAGACCTTCAAAAAGCCTGAGAAGAGACTAGAAAGATGATGACAGTTCTGCAAAAACTTTGAAGTCCCCTGGGATGCATGTGTATGTATGTGTGTTGTGTACGTATTCATGCGTACATGTGTGCCTTTGGTATGTGTGGTCCTATATGTATTTGTGTGTCAAACATGTATCTATGTGAGGGTTGCATGTGTATCATGGGTGTATGTGTGTGTTGCACATACATGCATGTTTGCATCTGCATGTGCGGTGCATGCATTTGTGTGCATGTTGTGCATGCACTGTGCATGTATTTATGGGTGTTGCCATGTATGTAGGAGTATGCATATGTATGTGTGTGCGAGTGGTGCATGCATCTATGTGCACAGAGGTGCTGGATCTCATCCTAAGCATAGCAGGGAGTCCCTGTAGAAGCCAAGCACCAGCTGGACAATGTGCTATAAGGACTCAGAAGGGGAGACTTTACCTGAGGCAAAAGCATACAGGTGGGTCCCCAGAAGTGTGGGGCTAAAGATGTCAAGGGGATGGGTTTGGCGGGACCGGAGAACATGTCCTCACAGGAAAGACAGCACATTGTGGGACCCAGAGGTTCCCACCCACTCTTCCTCTCTGCCTCGGGGCTCGATTCAGCCCCTTACCTGGAGTGCCCGGCGTGGAGTACACCAGGGCTTTTCTCCGCTGCCATCGGTAGAAACAGGTGCAGAGGACCACAGTGAGCACGTAGAACAGGTAGAAGCCCAGGTAGCCTGCAGACCGGGAGGTGGGGGGGGCAGTGTCACTGTGTCCATCAAGGGCCCAGAGAGCCTGGCCCTGTTAGTGCTGGCTGGACACACGGCCGAGGCTGATGGCCTGAGCCCTCGTGCCCACTCTCTCCTTCCTCGACCCATCATCCCCACACCGCCTCCTGGCCCTGGCACCGAGAGAGTCCTCAGAACCCCATTCATTTGGGTGCTATTAATTTTGGGGCCTATCTGGCCCTCACTGACCTCTTGCCCTGTCCCCGCCCCCTCAACTCCCAGCCCATGGAAGGGATATTTCCCACCAAAGGCAGTTCCTGGGGGGCTGGGGGGTCTCAGCACTCCATTACAGCCCAAAAAACCCAGACCAAACCCATTGCCATCGAGTCTGTTGTGACTCCAAGACTCACAGGGAAAACCATGATGGAGGGAAACCGCCCCCAGGGTTGCTGAAGCTGCCATCGCGAAGGCAGGGGTTCACCAGGCCTTTCTGCCTCAGCACCACTGGGTGGTCCAGAACCAACAACCTTCAGCTGAGCAGCTGAGCTTTTGGGCCTCTCCACTGACGTCTCTTGCCTCCCCCAGTACCGCCCTCTCCCCACGCTGTGGGCGATGACGCTCAAATCATCCGAACAGAGTCTTTGCAGCCAGAAGTCTGATGGTGGAGGTCAGCTGCACAGCGGGCACATCGCCCTGGCCCTGGCCCTCCCAGCTATCCGGCTGGGCAGCAGCTCTGCCACTTTGGTGCAGAAGGGCTCAGCTGGCCACCTCTTCGCCTCCCTCTGTGCCGGGGCCTCCTACCGGCCAGCCTGGTTGGGGGGGCGCGTCCGGCCCCATGGTGGCTCACCCAGGGCCCAGGATAGGGTGACATGGCCGACGTAGAGCGTGAGGAAGGTCAGGAAGACGGCCACCATGTAGAAGACGATGTCCCTGAGGAAGGGCCTGGAGGCGGCCAGAAAGGGCTGCAGGATGGCGATGCCGCCGGCCACCACCGTGGTCACCAGCACACCGGCGCCTGGAAGAGAGGCCACCTGTCCAGCCATGCTGCCCCTGTCCCCCACCCCCCCACCACCACCCCAGGGGACCATATTCCTTCTACCACCAGAATGACAGCTTTTGCTGGATTATGTGGAATAATCCCACCACCCTGCCCAGCCGTCTCTCACCAAACAG